TCCTGAAGATAAAATCAGTCTCTATGAAGCGTTTCATTGGAAGGAATAAAATACTTAAAACATTCTTAGCGAAAATACTTCCTTTTGAACAGACCGAAGCACGAAGAAATTATTTAAATGTTAGACGTGTTAAAGACTATAAAAATCCATTTTTCATTTACTTCAGTCGTTTTGACGGGGGTAAAATTGATACAATTTCGGCAGCATCTCTTTTCCAGAATATTGACCTTCACCGCAACTCGGGGGGAATGTGTCTTACTCCTTACAGTGTTTGCTAAATTGGACCAGCATCTTTGACTAAATGATTCAGATATTAGACAAGACAAATACGCAGGGTCGGGAAGGATGGGGCATGAGGGTCACGTGGTGAATCCCTACCCTTGCTGGGGTGGCAAGGTTCTCTCTAGGTCTGCAGAAACGCATTTGTTCTGGGGTAATGGGGGGAAACCCACCAACTATCGGAGATCTCGGTTTACCTCCCTACATTGTTACGACATGGACTCGCTTGTTTTTTGTAACCTTCCTTCTCAAGTTAAACGAACAAGAGTGATTTCTCTGGCGGATGATACGCTTGCTTCACGTGGAATGCTTAAAACAGAAAACTCCTTCGGCAAGACGTAACAGAAACCTACCTTTTTCAACAAATTAGATTGGTGGAAAACTCGCTTGTGACATGTAATAAACAAGTGTATAAGTGCTATCGTCTTGGATGGGATGATGCCGGCTGAACTTCCTATAGGATGTTATAACCGATAAATACTGTCATGCTTCCACTCACAAGAACAGCTGATAATTCATGTTTTCCCCAAACAAACCACATCAAACGTGTGTGCTTTCTCTCATATTAGATTTTATAATTAATTGTACGCGCCTTCGCTAATAATTTGTTACTCTTTATCATTTTATACACAATACATATCGAATTTAATACTACATACATACAACATGTATTATTTTTCTTTATCATGGCTACTTGGTGAATAAATACGAATGTTTGTAGTAAATATATCTACTGGTATATAAATTTTGTCGTTGCGATCACTTGATCCATTCATGTTTTACAAAATGAAATAAGCCGCATTTATTTGAATATTTGAATTTCTATTAAGAAGTATTTTTATCCAATATGGAAGTAAATTTACACTGATCGTGATATTAAATATTTTTCAGTAACTTGCGTCATTTTATGAAATCCGCTTCACTGAAGTGAATTAATTAATCAGACGAACCTAATGCAGCCCATTATCAAATATGGTAATCGCCAAGTAGCGCTGTAATTACACGCATGGCTATTACGTAATTGTAGAACTAAATGAAAGATAATCCCGGGTTTGGGGGCTGGAAACAGGGTGATTTAACAGAACTCCAATTACTTTGTCTATCATCTGTTTATTTTCATCCGTCATCTTCTGTGAAGAGTTTTGTCCGCCCCATCTGGGCGTCTTGTCAACTCAATCCAGTGTCCATCCAGAGCGTTCAATACTGTGACAATGCAGACGTTTCTCATTTGGCTTAACATCAACAAATCGCAGTCTATTGAAAGACTTAATTTTCCAAAATCAATTACTGCACATGGCTAGTTTCTGAATAAACTTTGCTATCTGTAAAATGTGATTGCTTTCTGTGAATGTGTGATTTAACAGCTGGGAAACCGGCGGAAGAATCGCATAATTTTCAAAGTGAACAAATCCGTGAAAGTCGATAGAATCTTCCGAATGACCGCATCAACCACAAGGCGATTATCCCGCCGCGAGGAAACGTAGGTCGCCATTTCAGCGATTGCTAAACTAGCCAGCTGTCACGGGTGATTATTTAATGCCCCGTGTTTAACAAATTAGTCCATCAGACAGCACTGTTTGTTTTAGCTTGAGACACAGTCGCTACGTTCACCTCCGTGCTGTTTTATCGTCCGTTCACTCGGCAAGCAACGACCCCTTGTCACATTCGCGCCAGATAGGAGTAATGATGGCGAATTGCTAAGGTTGGAGCCATGAACTTAACACCTCCGCTGATAATCTAGCATAGCAAACTAGCATGTGCATACCCTAGCAGTGTTGAGGGGAAATACAAGATGGCCATTAATAAAATAACGCCACTGTATGACAGGGGCATCTACTCTCGCCTCTCGGAGTTACAACGTTTATGCGGGATTATAATGATCCCACACTCAAATTACGCCCGATATCCGGTTAATCTGGTATAAACCTCGTGCGTTCTCGAGTGGATGGGACATGATATGTTCTAATGTCGATAAAATTCGTACAAATTGTTCACAGTGTTTAAACTGTGGAAGTAGAGGTGTTAGTTACAAACTTTTTTGGCCCCGTTGTGTGTAACCTCGGGCTACGTTTCATGACAGCTAAATATGTTTATTTGCGCCATTGTTTCTGACCACCTTTGTAACTGTAAGCAAGATTCCCCGACATCCAAGAAGATGTTTGAACTTTCATCATTGTTCGCTCTAGACTTCTGCACCTTTCTTTCAACAAAAACATTCATCTAATTTTTACTTAAATATATAGGATGTGCATCAAATTATCTGAATATTCGACATACACCAATTTGTATTTGACAGAAAAAGCTTTGTGAAATTTATTTAATTCTGTTTTTTAGCATAACTGTCAATTGAATTTAATGTCAAATCTGAAGCAAGAATAGGGTAAGGGAAAGACGTAAAAAATAAGAATGCATCATTTAGCATTTAAAATTTGTTGAAACAAATTAAATGTAATCTTTTATAAAAATAATTACATGATGAACGACTTTTACGTCGTTTTCTTGAGCTGAAGTCAAATTAATTTCACATGTGTTTCAGAGATTAAAATCCCATCACTGTGACATCGCATTCTTAAACTGTCTTTAATTTACATATCATCGAGCCCAAAGTCACAACTTCCTAACCCCCTGGGTACAAAATCCCGACCCCTTCCTGCACTGATCCCCACCCCAGCTGTGCCACTCCCCCGACCCCCGGGCACAACGCATCGGGGTCAATAAATGACATTCACGTCACCACATGATATTCTGTCCCTTGAGAGCTTATCACGCACGTGTGATTCTACCTCGACACAGTAGTAAGATCTGCACATGGGGTCAGGGCTGGGGGTGCGGGAAGTAGCTGCGGGTGGGGGTAATGTGAGAAAGATGGGTGCCATAATCCGTGTAATTAGTTTGGCGTATTGAAATATTGGCATCAGTATCTCTGGAGGAATGCCTTTACTCGGTTTATGCCCGCGCTATGGTTTATTGCAGTAATAAAATTATTTTCTTATTAAGATTTCCAATTAATCACCAAATAATATCTTCCCCAGTCACTTCCACTAATTTGTTTAGAGTTCGATGGTTCCACATCACCCGACAGGACTAACAAATTAAACAAGTATTATTGCTTAGATTTTGTAATGATAAATATATACTTGATACTGTGCGAATCAAATGCTGAGATTATAGAAAGCCTGGGTGCGGTGGGCAAGGCTACACGGCGTGTGGGTACGGGGGAAAGGTGGGGGAAGTGGATGAGGGTGGGGTCACGTTTCCTTAACGCAATACAAGTCATCCTCTGGCCTCCAAGGGCCTTTGCTGTTTCCGGTACAAAAAATATGAAATGTTTGCTTGTTAAAATTTACACTTTGTGTGTGCATGTGGTTCCCAGAGCAGATGTGTCGGTTATTGGTGAAGCAGATGCGGGCATGGCAGCCTGCCGCTCGCTGTACACAACACGTGCATCGCGCCCATCAAATTCGCCATTGTTTGTGGAACCTTGTGTTTTAGTGAATTTTCAAGACAGTAAATACCTATGCTACGGAATATATAAACCTTATAACTAGGTTTATAGTTCAAATGTTCTAGTTTCAGACGGTTTATGACGTGAATCTCTTTCTAAGCTGTTGTGGAGGAGATTTCGACAATACCAACCTGGTATTTCCATTTCGAGTTATTTCTGCAAATGGTGAAAGAATGCGATATAGTGCTAACCCAACACCAAAACTGAATAAACGACTTTCGTGCTGCAAAACCCCCATTAACACTCCTATAACGATGTCAATACCACGAGGTGCCGTTCGCCATCCTGTCAAAGAGCCAGTCGACATAGATTATTTTCACAACGCCACTTCCAGCTCCCAATGTATACGTATTCCTACAACTCAATAACATCCAAATCTAGATAAGAACTGGTTAATTTCGAAAACGTAGACGCAGTTTATGTAATTCATGTTTGTGCTTTCCTGTTTTTCTACACTGTACGTATGTACACGTTGTACGGGTGAAAATGTTGAAGACACAACTCGCTCCCGTGAAACAGGCCCCGTGAAAGATTTATCTGTGAGAAACGCGAGAAGCCGAAAACAGGTGTTATCGGAAAGTTGTGCACAGACACATCTGAGAACCTTTCTACATTTTCGCATTACAAATTTTATACACTTTTCTCATACATTATGGCTGTAATATAAAAACTCCCGTCAAAATATGACAGATAGGTGCCTATGAAGGACCATCGGAAGAATGCAAGATGCTTCATATCACAAAATACGAAAATATTTCATTTCTGAAGATTTTTTGAGAGGTTTATCGTAAACCGCCTTCCCAGAAGTACGGCCTATTGACATGGAAGTACTAACCACAGAGTCGATTTATATATTTATATTATCACTTGATAAGATGACTGAACTTTAACTTTAGTTGTGGTTTATAGTCGTATTTCCTTCTTTTGTGGCTGAAGATAAGTCTATGATTAGAAATATTTTATTTGTATTTTTTACTCATTAGTTTAATATATGCTTGTATTTTATAAATATATTTAGTTATTTTGATGTCTATATGTAAACAACTAGTAAGGTTATATTAAAGTGATTCCTTCGTAGAAATATGGACATTACGTTACATGTGCTCCGTATTTCACACTTCCACTCAGCTATGTTTAGACTCTAGTAAATGGTTGTTGCGCCTGTAATAAATATCAACAAGTTAGAATGAAACAAAAATATTAATATTGAACTTACCAACACACTCATTAGTTTCTCCGGGGGTGGCCCGTGCCCATGGGCGGTCATAATGGAATGGCTTACACTTCTCACAGTCGTACCCTGCGGTGTTGTGCCTGCAGTCACAGGCCAATCTCCCATCGCGATTTGGAATGCATTGAGAAGCGTGACCGTTACATTTACAACGGCCACCGACGGCGAAGTCGCTCAGAGCGTAGTAGTAACTCTCCCTGGCCCCCTCGTCATCCTTCGTTTCATCACCGTAGGTATTTAATTTATTAAACACAATCATAATATCCGTGGCGGTTACCCAGTCCTGAAGAACGGGGCTGTTGTCGAAATCCAGAGCCGATGGACGTCCCTCCAGAGTGCTGAACCCCACCCGGGCCCCACCCAGGGGGTCGATGTTGCTGTAGGCCTCAGTGCACAAAGCTTTCTGCTCGTTGGCTTTAGTGACGACAGCGACGGCATCTTTGCTGTACATCTTCTTACAGTCGCTGGAGTAGTACTGAAAAGGTATCCATGTTTTACCATAGTCCATACTCTTAAAGATTGCCATAGAATCCGGCCGAGCAGAGCAGAACTGTAAACTGATGTATGTGAGCTCGTATTTTTTGTGCAAGGACAAGTTTAACGTGACATTCTGGGGGTACTGGACAAACGGCTCTGACATCCAGCAGGTGAGGTTGTTCGGGTTATTGAGGTCCGTCAGATATGACGGCGGGTGTCTGCGCTTGAGGTGATTCGCGTCACAGATAAAACAGTTCCTGATAACCTTCGCATCGTTGTCCGTTGTGGACTTGCAATACCTGCTCGGCGGAGAACCACAGGTGCTCGATGCCACCACTTCTTTACTAAAAGCAGCATTCTCAAAGTCTGGAACGCACCTCTTGGGTTTCTCATTTTCATCATAGCAAGGATCAGGTGGAGTTTGTTGACCCGCAAACATTTTGATGTAACCAGCGGAACACACGTACCCCAGGCAGAATACCAACACTAAATGTACCCGGAGTAGCCAAGTGCTACGACAAGTCCTAATATACACACGCATGGTGTTTGGTACACCAGGGTTGTATTTCACAAATAAAATCCCACTCTCGCTCCACGATCGGGAGAGTTAGTAGTGTAGAGCATTCACCGTACCCCTCTTTGGCCCGGTTAGGAATCCCAGAGCTGCTATAATCCTCGTCTGAGATGTTCACTCTTCCTGCGGTGCCTCTGTTACGGCAATGCCCCGGTTCACATTGGGCGGGAGTTACTTGTATCAATCCCAACACGTTCTGTGATATTCTCTCCCACAGCTCTACATTGAGGGGGCACGTGTCAACCCTTCCTACACCGACGGGGGAGAGTGAAATAATGCTACCGACACAGACGCCGGAGGATCTGACACCACGCGCGTGAGACTGCTAAACTGTGATCCCCACGCGCTCTGTGCGATGTTGTGGCCTCAAATGCTGCGACACTGTTGCTGCTAATTATGTACTTCTCGATCGTAATTCTCAGAGGCTGGACCTTCACGCCCGTGGTCTAACGTGGTGATAGATACTCGTATAGGTGTTCGCTGCTTCGGCGCGTAGTAGCCAAATGCCTGGACCGATACTCTATTAATTTGTGGCTGTATGTACGAGGAAGAGAGCAGTGATTGGCACGACTCACTGACTATACCTTGGTCCTGGGTAGCTGCACGCCGACACAAGGGGGTTGGCTCTACAGCTAGGCCACACATTGGCTCCGCCCCTTACTATTCAAGCTGTGTGTCATTCAAGTCTAATTACCAGTGTCCATTCACCGCTAGGCCCTCATTCTTTTACCAGCCATTGACTAACATGTCGAAAGAAATATGATGGGTCCACACGGTGTGTTTTAATCCGAATTGAGATTTGATAGCGGTTGTCGATCGGGGTATCTGGTATGCTGACTCAGGTTACAATGTAACCGACAGCTCAAGGTTGATAGCTACATGATTGACACATCCCCCCACCCCACCGACGCCCATCCCCCAGACCCCAGTCCCCCGTCTTGAGCTTCCTTGACCCAACACAGCCCGACCCCCTCCCCATTGCACACGTTATACCACACCTACAACGAAATACTACAAGTTTAAAGTGATTACAGATCTATATCGAGGTGTGTTTACACTTTCAGGTAGCTTGCAACTGGGTGAAAAATTAGTCGGTTACCTGTGAAATTTAACGCGCAGATCTCTACAGTAGCTGGGATATCTTTGACCGTAACTAAAACAAACAGAGGTTGAATAAACTTAAACTGTTTCCATTCGTGCTCCTGGTATTTATAGAGAGATCTCGCCGAGCGGAACGGAGCTTCTACAAAATACGCTAACCTCTAAAACAGGATAAGTCTCCGTGTGATACATATACATTTTCCTCTCCGGGGATATAAAATTTCAATGTTATCGCAATTTCCACTCTTCCTGTCGCATATCGCTGAAATACATTTCTCCCCCGACTGACTAGAAGCAAAGCCGTTGCCCCATACAAATCCAATCACCCAGAACGCCGGTCTCTACCCGATAGCTGCATCTACATACATATTGTTAGATGTTTAACTAATAGCCGTTTATTCACTATTATTTCACCTCTACCAGGTGCAAGAAGCTATCCCATTTCTATAGGTGTTTATACTAGTGCTGGGGCCGTGTTTCCAACACTCTTACACACTGAAAGTGACAGACCCGCCGGTGTATTTGTCCAGCTACCACCTGCAGAGAGCGACTCCACACCTTGCGTCCGTATCGCGCCTCCAGGGTCCCTACAAGCGTGAAAATATGTTTACACTTATCTTACAATCCGATAAGAGTGTGAGATAAGAAATAGACGACAAAGCGTAGGAATACTTGAAGTGTTGGTCGGGTATTGAGTATCGGCAATACAGACTTGTAGATTGCCACCTGGTTTAGCAAAGCCTTTAAATCACTCCAAGCTTTGAGTTGGGGGAACGGGCATGGCTATCACTGCTGAGCGATACTGTAGAAGTGAATTGACTTCTGTGGGGACTGAAATAAGGGGTGGATTTTAGCCTAAAGAGTTTGTATTGTAAATCTGTAGCAGATGGGACGTGTGGATCTATAGCTTTACTGACTTGAAACCTGGTTCGGACCCCCGTGTATGGTTTTACATGCGGATCTAGTTTGTATCGGTGTTTTTATATGTGCTTTGTGAACTACCCGGGCAGTGTTTGAAACCTGTCAAGGTTCATAATTTATGGTTTGCTTTGGTAATGCCAATATATTATGTAGAATTTACAAAATCGCTGAAAAAAGTGGTTAAACGCATTTAAATGTGCTTTCTGGTATATGTTAAATGGAACATTATAAATGCGATTTACCTGTGTGTAGTGTCGTGGTAGATTAGTTAGATATGAGCAACATCAGTATCAAAGCTGCCTTTTTGTGATAAACAATATCACTTGGAGTGTACAATAATAATGTATAAACCCGATAATAATGCATCCTCGATAATCTCCAGGGTATACGTTCCGATAAATCTCTGCTAGTGGAGACTTATGGGAACGCATACTCTGGAGACTATCGAGGATGATAATAATGCTAATAATGTCGACATGGTTATATATGTTATAATGTCGATATGGTTATATATGCTATAATGTCGATATGGTTATATACGTTATAATGTCGATATGGTTATATATGTTAATAATGTCGATATGGTTATGTCGACATGGTTATATATGTTATAATGTCGACATGGTTATATATGTTATAATGTCGATATGGTTATATATGTTATAATGTCGACATGGGTATATATGTTATAATGTCGATATGGGTATATGTTATAATGTCGACATGGGTATATATGTTATCATGTCGATATGGTTATATATGTTATAATGTCGATATGGTTATATAAGTTATAATGTCGACATGGTTATATATATTATAATGTCGATATGGGTATATATGTTATAATGTCGATATGGGTATATATGTTATAATGTCGATATGGTTATATATGTTATAATGTCGATATGGGTATATATGTTATAATGTTGATATGGTTATATATGTTATACTGTCGATATGGTTATATATGTTATAATGTCGATATGGGTATATATGTTATAATGTTGATATGGGTATATAAGTTATAATGTCGAAATGGTTATATATGTTATAATGTCGGCATGGTTATATATGTTATAATGTCGACATGGTTATATATGTTATAATGTCGATGTGGTTATATATGTTATAATGTCGATATGGTTATATATGTTATAATGTTGATTTCTATAACATCACTGCTGTGCATCCTCATTCAGAAGATTCGCTGTAAACATGAAATCTTGTGGTATAAAATATTTATGATTTATGAGTAATTGAACTCTTCGTGGCCTGACGAAACGCTTAAGTGATCAATCTTATACTAAGTATAAACCATTCGGCGGATATGTGTGAACGAATGTTCCAATAGTTAAGTGCTTCACGTTATATATAGAGAGATGAAATGGATATGGTTGCTGTTCGTTTGCCGAGACATTACTGTTATCAAATTAAGACTACAATCTTAACAAGGTTTGCAAATTAAGATTGATATGATACACGCGCCTGAGGCGAGCTGCTTCATTACTTCTCATAGAGGAATTAATTAGGTGACATAAAAGATAAATTAATCACGCACATTAGATATATGACTTTCAGATTATTCGTAAACTCAAGTCTGGACGTATAAAAAGATTTCAGTGATATGCGTGTGGTGTTTTAAGTTGTTTGGAGATAATTTTACAGAATGTTTTTCCCATCTGTTAAGTGTTTAGGGTGAAAAGAACATACGAGTCCATCCAATATTTTCAATTAAACAAAACCAAGGGATTGGCTGTTTTAGATAAGCTGTAGCCAACATCTGTAGTGTTAACTCAAGCCTCGTCGCCAACAAGTGGGGTTGAACCCTAAGACATCATATTCGCAAAATTTCAAAGATTTATGTATAATAAAAACTGTCGGTGTAAATGATACCCCGAGAAATCCTTGGGAGATAAACGTATCTAATAAAAAATATATTTTAATGAAATATGGTCAAAAGATACGTTTTCGTTAAATGACTCCACCAAAGCAGAGTGTCTAATCAGTACGACGGAGAAATGCAGGTAGGATCGTGTGTGCGCTGACGTTTCCTGGACAAGTGGAAGTCCCTGGTGGTTTTACAGCTTTTGTTTATTTGTTGTTTTACGCCGCACTCAGCAATATTTCAACTATATGACCACAGTCTGTAAACTGAATCTGGACCAGACAATCCAGTGACAAAAATCATGACCATCGATGTTTTAAAGCGCCACGTTTCGTAGTGCAGTTGTTCTAGCCACAGGTTCGTGAGTACGAAGTCTGATTGTAATCCAAGATTTGTAACCAACGTATCCGTCCTTGATGGCATTAAAGTAAGGTAATGTAGATGGTCTAACCCAAAGACATTCACTCACTGTTCATAAGTACATTAAACCTTGAAGACCTTCCAGTTTAAAGTAAAGCTATGATCATGAGAAGAGAACTTTTAGTACACTTTCTAAAGTGTTCAGATATAATGGTGAACTGGCGTTTACAATTAACATGCAAGTGCATTATGCGGTATGTAATGTTTCTGACGTGAAAAACAAGCTTTGAAGTTAATTCGTCTCATCATTCCAATTCGAACCATGCAACGATAATATCTGTGATTAAAACTAAGCACACATTTCGAGATTTACATCAAACCAAGACCACAGAAAGAATTTCTACATATTAATAGGCAGGCTGGTTGTTAGCTTTTACGCATCCTGGAAAGTCAAAAATATTGAACAAGTGTCCATGTTTCTCTCCAGGTAACATCAATGAAAGGAACTATGGGTTGGGTTGTCCGGAGCTTGGAATTACACCTGTTTATGAGAGTAATTAAAGATCTCGTTATGTGTTTCAGATCCAATTCTGAAGCTCCTCTGCTCATGGATGTTTGCAAATCATGCATCCTATTACACGAAAGAAAGAAGCAATTCTCACATTTGGGCAATCTTTATTTACCAGCATCTGCCCCTCTTACACGGTATGCATTCTGTTCTTCAAACATGTGGGAATTATTAGCAAAACATGTACTGAAAACACGTTCGTCTACATCCGGGTGATCTCCATTTTCTAGCTGGCTTGCACACACACCAGAGTGGAGTTGTTACACAAAAACATCTATGAATGATGCAATCGTGCATTGTGGATGTTATTTACAGCCAGCCTATATGACACTGCCATGTAGTTGTATTGCTGATATAACGGCCGATAATAGATGTTCTGTAGGTTTTTGCGTTTCTTTGTGTTTACTTCCCTATTGAGATAGGCATCGGACATTCATTAGGATGGAGATGTGAGACACCAGGCAGCGTGTTATGAATCATTATATATGGAACTTGGATGTGGTATTTTCTAACTTGTTGTTTTATGCTGCTTAATTGCCTTACCACATTGCAGACACTGCACTCACCAAGATGAGTGGGTATGAAGATAAATTTAAGACATTGAACATTGCTTTGGCAGCAACAGCAGGCCTAGCGTTGTAGTAGCCAGATTTATATGATTTATATATGTTCTCATGCAGTAGATACTGCTGTTTCGCCTCAGACACATGGGACCGCCTCCGCGGTGTAGTGGTTAGAGCG